CTTGTTACTACTAATAAGGCACTTGTTACTACTAGTAAGGCACTTGTTCCTAGTAGCTTCTTGTTACTACTAGTAAGGCACTTGTTACTACTAATAAGGCACTTGTTACTACTAGTAAGGCACTTGTTACTAATAGCTTCGTGTTACTACTAGTAAGGCACTTGTTACTAGAAGCGATGCACTTGTTACTACTAGCTTCTTGGGGTAAAGCTTAAACAAGGGAACTGTGCGGGCCTGATGAGTTTGGGGTATCCCAAGATCTTCTTGAGACGTTGGTTGAAGAAGTTCCTCAGTGGTTGTCAGCGCTGCAATGCAAAGACTGGCAAACCATGTTTTTATCTCCCGCTGTCCGTCTCCCTTGCACCTTGGAGGCCATCGCTATTAGGTTGGAGGCCATAGCAATTTGGTCTTTTAAACATATTTCCTTTTCACTTGCACTCTTCCAGGCAACCTCTGTTGAAAACAATGTCTTCTTAGCAGCTGAAGGAGGTCATATTGAAGCTCAGCAAATGGAGCTGTCTAAGGCGGACACCGGACGTATTTCATGCGCTCAGCACCGTAGACCCTGGCAAAGCACAACTGAAACATGGGTCATGACATCAAACCTGTTCTTATCAAGATCCTGAGAAGAATTTGTTACAAAGACACAAGCAGAAAACCAACAGGGCAAACGCCGTCGGCACCCAAAGCGCACATCTCCCGCCTAAACCTTTGCCGAATGTCCGAGATGTGGTGCTTGATTTTCACCTCGCAAAGGTTTATGCAGTGGCTGGACATCTGTAAACTCTGCTGTGAGCAGCTCTTCGCACTTGATCTCAACCCCTCTTTATCCCTTCGGCTTCACATTTGTGCACCTTGAATTGTGATCTGAGTGCCAGGCTTCACCTCTCGTTGTGATCCTCAAAATCAAATCACAAGAACCACTTCAACGTATTTCTTTTAAAGTCATTATGGACAAGCCAGCTTGGGGTGTGTACCTTTGAGGTAGCAGTTTTGTGACTGTCGGTGCCCTTCCTGCTAGGTTCGGGATATTGACTAAACAGTTGACCTCACTTGAAAGTATTGACTCCAATTCCATGGTGCATCACAACGAAAGGCCTAAGTGTGGAGCTTAACTGGCTTACCCTCCAATCTTTCGCTACTTGGTTGGAGGCCATCACCAGTAGGTGGGAGGCGACCGCTACTTTCCATCTTAACGGACCCAACATCCGTTGCGGGACCAAACGTTCCACCAAGAGCGCAATACTGTTAAGCCTTGACCGTGACCCCAATCACAAGGAAATGACACATCCCAATTATTTCTTATATTTCTGGTTGGGTCAGTTGAGCAAGGACCGATACCAAGCAAAGAGAAGCTTCTACATGAACCACGTAGGCTCCTGGACCTAAACATTTGGCCCTGAAGACGGGCTACTAGGAGCAAGAAAGCTACTAGGGCATCGCTACTAGGAGCGATCGGACGCTACTAGGGGCTCCTGCACCTGGCCGTACTACTAGGAGCAATAAAGCTACTAGGAGCATTCTTACTACCAACCCTTCGGTCAAGCATCTCTCTACGGCACTGGTTCACCAGGTCGATCGCAGCCGTGAGCTCCTGACTTCGTCAGAAGGTCGAAACACAACATGAGGGTTTGAATGAAGCTAAAGAGGTTCTACACAAACAATTTGGCAATGTAAACAACAGATCGGTTTCACTCCTTAACGCTCCTTGCTTCAAGTGTCTTTCTAAGGATTGGTCTTTCTTTTCGCAAAGTGGCCAGGCAAAGCTTGCTTGTTCTATGCACCCGGATGGGATCACAGTGTTGGGATGGGTTCAAAAGGACAAAGGACCGAAGAGACCAATCAATCACTTCATCCCATCGTCACCTTCCAAGAGTCTTTCGAAGAGATGTATACACGAACTTTCCAGAAGCACCTTCTTATTACTAGTAGCGTCCTTGCTCCTAGTAGTAAGGCCAGGAGCCCCTAATAGCTTCTTGTTACTACTAGCTTCTTGCTACGAGTACGGTCAGGAGCCCCGTTCGTAGCGTCGGCCACGGCTTGGGTTTTCACGCCTCGATCTCTTGGATCTCAGTGAGGCTTCCCAGGATTGGCTCGTCCGAATAGTCCTGAGAAATTGCGGACTAAGCAAAATTAGCTTGCCGTAGTTAGCTGATTGCTGAGTAAAATATTAGCAAAGTTGCGGACCTAATAGCTAAATACGAATAGTAAGCTGCTACTGAGCTTAGTATTAGGCCAAAGTTTGTGTTTCTACTACTTGGCACGCCAAAGCTTTCTACTTTTCGCTTTTCCTGCAACTACTTAGGCTTTTTCTCACGCACTCCTCTGCTCAAGCTTCAAGGAAGAACCCCTGCATGATTGATTTGATTTCTAGACTTTAGGGAACCTCAACATGTTACTAGTAGCGTCCTTGCTCCTAGTAGTAATGCCAGGAGCCCCAGTAGCGTCCGATCGCTCCTTGTAGCAATGCCCTTTGTTACTCCCTTTTCAACAAAATGCGAACTGTAAGAATGTGTTCTTGTTTGCAGCAAGGGTAGTTACATTCGTGGGCCCAGTAGCATAGAGCGCATCTTCACCGAACTTGCCGCCGACGCCATCCTCACGACATGGGAAATGGGAACAATAGCGATGGCCTCCGCTCTCATGCATTGAAGTTTCTACATGCGGACAAAAGGCATAGACCTCCCGCTGTTGGGGGTCCGAGAGCCACCTGAAGGCTTCCTGGGCTTGAATGAACCTGTGCGGAGCCACTTGAATCCAAGGTCTTGTCCCAAAAGGTGTTTACAAAAAGAAGGACAAAAGAACCGTCTCAAGGTCCCAAGCCAAGTCCAAAAAAAAGAAACAAGAAGGAAAAAAGGACACGTGATCAAATCAAGAATGCGACAGCACTCGCGGGTCATTGAGTCGCCCAAATCGGGCCAATGGAATATAATTAGCTAGTGCACCGTAGCACTGTAAGCTCTTGTTTGCAGTTAAAACCAAATCATTACTCTCGCCGCTACCTCGCCTAAAAAGGAAAAACACAAAAAGACAACGCGTCTAAAGGTCTGAAGCTTCTTGTTTCAATTCTAATTTGTTACTACTAGTAAGGCACTTGTTACTAGTAGCGATGCACTTGTTACTACTAGCTTCTTGTTTCAATTCTAAATAAATTTCAATCTAATTCTAGTAGCTAGCTTCTTGTTTCTAGTAGCGTCCTTGCTCCTAGTAGTATGGCCAGGAGCCCCTAGTAGCGCCCTCTTGCTCCTAGTAGCGATGCCCTTGGCTCCTAGTAGCGAACCTAGCTCCTAGAGAGACAAACAAGGTCTACACGTCTAAAGGTCTGAAGAGGAAGAGCTCGTCGCAAGCGTGGCTTCCGGACCAGCCTGTCTGCTGCATCAGATGAGGGATTCACATCTGGATGTGTCTCTCTGATCAGGCCTTTGTGAACGAATGCAGCAAAAGGGCGTGTCAAAACAAACGCAGCAAATCCCAATCATCAAGGTGAGAATACTTTTTGACATGACTCGTGAGAATCCTTCATCTTTGGCATGACTGCTCACGGAAGGCAAAATTAAAGATACCTGCTGACTACATTTCTGCTCTACAATCTAGTACCGTGCTCCTAGACTGCTGGCCTTTTTCTTCTTCTTATTCTTGATTACAATTCTAATTAGATTCTAATTTGTTACTACTAGTAAGGCACTTGTTACTAGTAGCGATGCACTTGTTACTACTAGCGTGGCACCCGTTTCTATATTTTTTCCGTTTGCTGGTCTGCCAAATCGGGAAGGACCCAGTCTGTGAGTTCCAAGCGCTTGTAGGCTGAGCGAATCTCATCTTGCGTGGCCTCAGCCAGGCTCGGGTGAGATGCCAGCTTTGCCTTGAACAATGAATCATGTGCTTTTAGCCCGCTCCTATTTAATTAAGTAACACGAAACAAGAAGCTAGTAGTAACAAGTGCCACGCTACTAGTAACAAGTGCCTTACTAGTAGTAACAAGAAGCTATTAGAATTAAATTAAGTACCAGTTCGCTACTAGGAACTTGTTTGCTCCTAGGAACAGGACGCAGGATAGTTCACGCTTCCCTGAAGAAGCGCTCGCACTCATCATTGGGTTCCTAGATTTTTGGGGAAACTTTAGCAACTCAGTCAGGACTGTGGGTCAAGCAAAAGCACACCAAAGTCTTAAGTTGGGAATGGTAGCAGCGCAGACTCAGCAGGCTTCATACCAACCAACCTTCACCAACCAAGAATTGCATGTCTTTCAATCGAGAAACAACTTCACACTTTCAAAGCTTTGGCTGAAGACCCTTCCAAATCGAGAGTGAGATGTGAGGACAAAGAAGGCGCTCTAGGTTTGAGAGTCCGCGCCAGCTTGTCAACGCCCAGGACATCATAAAAGTCCACACCTTGCCGGTTTGAGAGGCAACAAAGCGCAGCAGTCGAAAGGATTCAGACAATTCACAAAGCGCTGGGACACAATTAAGCTTCCCAAAAGTAACGAACTGGCATGTCTCTTTTGTTTCTTAAACCTCCAAAAGCGCGTCGACATGACCGGCCTTTAGGCATGTCTTCAGAGAGTCGAACCCGCTTCTGCCTTGGGAGGCTGGAGCTGAACTCGTCCATCGGAGTATTGTTAGTTGGTACATAATAGAAACACATGAATGCATTTCTAATATTAGTGATGGCCTCCAACCTAATAGCGATGGCCTCCAACCTAAAGAAAACACGTATCCTATCTTAATTTACGTAAAAATGTATCCGGACTCTCAATTTACAATAGACTTCCAAAAGAAACAAGACTGACACAGTGAATCTGCGATGCTCTTTTTGAAAGCATGTGAGCTCGATCTGTCATGGCCTAGTCACCGAGTTCAGTTGAGTCTCATTTCCCCTTCGGGGAGAAAACGAGATAGACCGAGATATCTTTGATCTCATTTCTCACTTCTCAGTTCAGTGACTAAGTTGTGCTCGCACTACTGAGTTGAGTTTGGAGTCACAGTCTTTGAAGGTTTCTAAGCATTGTCTGCTGCAGTTTTGAGAGTTTGCCATCCGACCTATAACTTCAATGTGCGAGCGTTCGCTACTAGGGGCTCGCCTTACTACTAGGAACAAGTGCATCGCTACTAGTAACAGGTGCCACGCTACTAGGAACAAGTGCCTCGCTAGTAGTAACAAGTGCCTTACTGGTAGTAACAAGAAGCTACTAATTACAATTCTAATTAAATTCTTATTGTTATTGTTTAACTTAATTCTATTGGCTTTTCGTTACTACTAGTAAGGCACCTGTTACTACCAGTAAGGCACTTGTTCAGCGAGGCATTTGACAGACGGCTAGCTCGACCCCGAGAAAATGCTCTCACTCCTTGGGCGGGGATCGGGCGGCTTCTCTTCAGTCCTGGCGTCCGATCGCTCCTAGTAGCGATGCCCTTTGTAGTAACAAGTGCCACACTACTAGTAACAAGTGCCTTACTAGTAGTAACAATAAGCTATTAAATTAACATTAATAGCTTCTTGCTCCTAGTAGTAAGGCACCTGTTACTATAAGCGATGCCCTTGTTCCTAGTAGCGTCCTTGCTCCTAGTAGTAAGGCCAGGAGCCCCTAGTAGCTTCTTGTTACCATTTCAGAGAGCACTTGATAACGAACATGCGCTTCCAAAGAAGAGAGCAAAAGACGTCGTCAATATTGGGATCTGTAAGAAAAGTGAAGCATCGGCAATACCTGGTACCCTGCATTAGCGATAATTGTCTGAGCTTGGCTTGACAGTGAACTAGAAAAACTCACCTTGCACCACACTTGAAGACCTTCTTGTCTTCCAACACCATCTATATATTGCTGCAGGCCACTTCTACGAAGTGAATCAGCAGTTTGTCTTGCTCATTCCCTTCATTTGAATGGCCACGCATCCTGGCTGGCTGTGGTGGAGGGTCAAACCTCATCTTCCCAATATGCCTGCGCAGCTCAGCGGCCCGGTATCCCCGAAAGCCCTTTGGAGAAATGCACCCGACAGAAAAAGGTTGAAGGTCATCACCATTAGGTTGGAAACCATTCATCCCTATTAGGTTGGAGGCCATTGGTAGTGGGTTGGAGGCCATTGGTAGT